CAAATGGGCCACTGCGGGGACCTCCCAGTGACCAAATGTGGCCTTTTAAAAAACCTTGGTGGAGAGTGCTCAGGTGCCCTCGGCTCCAAGTGCAACTTTGCACATTCAGAGGAGGTCTGGTGCCTGATGGGTCCTGTCAAGTCTCAGTTATCCAAAGACACCCGTGAGGAGATTCGGCCGTTGGACACCACGAGTTTGCCCCAGCAGTCGCCTTCAAGTCCGACTCCGGAGCTTTCAGATGATTGCTGTAAGCTGCTGCACAATTGGTATGTATTGGTTTAAGTTTAGCCACCTTCATGATCGGCTTTTCAACAATGCTGGACATGTCCGTGTTCTTAAATGCTCCTTTCATTGTTAGACTTTACAGATTTTGCAGGATGTCAATATTGGAATTGTACTCTCTTTGCGAGGAGGAGTCACTGAGACGACTGGATCCAAAACCAGCGCAGCGCAGTCCAAAACCAACTGCGACTCCGCAGGCCAAGCCTGTCCAGCCTCCGAAGAAGCCACAGATGCAGCAGATTGTCTTGCAGCAGCAGCAACAGCAGCTGCAACATCAGCAGCAGCAGTTACACCAGCAGCGACTCGAACGGCATTTTAGTTGAGACTTTCGGTTGTTTCCATCTTTTTGAGCATTTCCTGCTTGAACCTCCTGACTGAGGCAATTACAGCAGCAGTTGCATCTTCAGCAGCAGCAGCTTCAGCAGCAGCAGCAGGAGCTCTGCTGTGCCGTGAAGTGGGTCATGCGCTGCTTGCATGTGCGCATATGTGTGCGCAGATGTGCGCACTTGCAGCCTTGGTGTTCTTGTGCAGCTGTCATGCCTGGTTGTATTATGGTTGCGAGCGTTTCCCTTGAAGTGAGCAGGATATGCAACCAGGCGAACGAACAAGCGGTGGTTGCAGCTAAGCCTGTTAACGGATTTCCGTCTGATACAGTTAACATGCACTCGGAAGGCCAGAGGAGGCTCCTTATTAAGGTGCCTTGCCTAATGCATTCAAATCAGAACAAGACGGGGGATCCCGGGCGTGCGCCTCCTGCGATGTTTTCTCACGGTTTTCATCGTTTGTTGACATTTCCGTGCTCGAGTCACTTTGCCACAGTTTCCGAGCACATAGTAATTGCCGAAAACAAAAAAACCCAACAACACATTTGAGAACAAACAACAAATTCTCTCGACTTTCCGATAAAAGGGGCCCGATTCCCAGAAGTCCTAGATTCATTGTTTTTTGGGTTTCTTTTGGTTCTTGATACGCATTTCCCCATTTATTAGAAAGTCACGGTTTTTGGAAATTTTCCGAGAAATTGCCGAGAACAAACACACATCTTGGCAGCCCAGGGAATGCTTAAGACTTGTTTGACGGGGTAGGAGGCTTCTATGATCTAGGGGTACCCCTTGGAATGCTTAAGATGCTGAAGGGGGGCACAGAATCCTATCTAAAGTGGGGAATAGTGGAGCTGTTTGTCAAGAAACCAGTGATATGCAAGTTGTTCGACCTCTGAGGCTTGTTCATGAGTTTTTTTTCTCCTCAACCTGATCTTCAGCTGCTCAGGCTGTGGCAGTGGGCCGTTAGGTGGCCGTGCGTATGTCAGCAATTGTCAAAATTTCCCCACTTGGATATGAAAGTCAGCACTGGCCCAAAAACCGATAAGGTGATAACTTATCGAGGAGGACGGTAAGTAGCTAAGAACGTCTACTATATGGCCCCCAACCCATATAGTTTGAGGGCCTGGGCCCTGCCGCTAAGGCCTGGCAATGCTTGCGGGGACCAGTCCGAGCTCTTCCGAGCTCTTCCGAGCCGTAACTGGAAGGTTCAAGAAATCTTGAAGATTCGAAGAACATTGAAGATTTCAACAGAAATCTGATGCAATCAAGGATTTCCCGTCCTTTCCTGCAGTTTTGTAGTCTTACAGGGTTTCTGAGAAGGAAGTTACATAGAAGAGCGCAATTCACAGGAACCGAATACTTTAAGTAATTGAAAGTAAACATGTGCAGGTACAACTAATCAGCTAATGACCTAATTCATGTACATATTTCTCGATTAGCCAATAAGAAAGGTCACGAAAGCTCCCCGTGTGGGAGCTTTGTTTAGTACCTCACGGAGTGAGCCCGGGATCATGGGGGGAGGGGTCCCGGGGGGGGAGTGGGCAATTTTGGATGGTTTTTGCTGCACCGCGGGAGGCCTTTTCGGGCTAGAGTCTTGGGGGTTATCTTGGGGTGATGTTGGGGGCATCTTGGGGGATTTGGGGGGGCTCTTGGGAAAATCTTGGGGGGTCTTGGGGTGATGTTGGGGAGATCTTGGCTGCATCTTGGGGAGGATTTTGGGGGATCTGGAGGCAACTTTGGGGGGTCTTGGGGGATCTGGGCGGATCTTGGGGGGATCGTGGAGGTTTTTTTAAAGGAGGGGTTTATGTAGGAGGGTTGCAGTTCCTTTAATGGGTAGTGAGGGCTGGGCTGCGTGCTCTTCTGGTTATATATGGTCTGTTTCTTCACGGCCTGTCTTGCCACTCCTGTCCATTATTGAGCTTTCGTCCCAGCCCGTGGCTCTCAAGTATCTCCTCCAAATTGCACGCGCAATTGGGCACTATCCAAGCTTTCTATATATATATATGGATTTAGGGAGGACACGTTTTACCATTGATGGCCAGCGACAAAGGGCTTGTATTCCAAACAGTCGTTTATCGAACTCAGGAAGCGAAATCAACGCACGTTGTAGAGAATGAGACTGCCTAGGAATAGCCTACTGCAGAACAGGGACTACAATCATATATAGAGCCGAGAAACAGCAACCCAACAATGAGGCCCCATCTAGAACCAATTTTCTCTTCTCAAGAAAGGAACAGAATTCTCCCTCATCTGCAACAACACACAAATCAAACCAAATTGACTTGAGAAAAGTCAAGGCTAAAATTTCTGGCAAGTACTGTTTTGATCCTCATAGAAGTTGAGCAGAACGAATTGGATAAGCGGCCTCATGAAATGTGAGTGCCCAATCTTGCCTTCCTAGATCGCAAACTGAACTAGGTATCCACTCACCTGGATAGACTGCCATAGCCAAGATATATCTCTTGACTGTTCTGCTGACGATTTCACGAAATCGCAGGGCGGAGGCAGATATTGGATGGGCCGTTTCAGTGCCTGGATCTTCTCTGCCATCCTAGCTTCATCCCCCGTCTGTCTGCTTGCGGGTGCGTGCTGATGGTGTCGAAACTAAAGCTTGTACTCACCAAGCGAGCGTGTGTTAATTCCAGATCCAAAGTGCAATTGTCAAATCTATCAAGTTACAGTTACAAACAAAAGAGGTTCAGTTGACATGTATCCCTATCACATGTTTTGCTACAACTATGCGTGGTGCGCTTGCCTGGCGAAGTTGGTGATTTTGACATTAGGGCATCCCTGCTACACAAGCAAAATGCGGGTTCGTGGTTTTTTGAGAAGATCTGGGACTGCTGGTTGCTGTGGATCTCATATCCACTAAAGCCTGGCTAGCATCAGAAAACTGAGCATGTATGTGGCTTATCATAATTTGTCGCACCTTGTTGATATTCAGTTGCGTGCGGGAGCCAATAACATGTGTCAAGCAGTGGGTCGCATACGCACAGAGACTCTATACATGCGCAATCATGCGCATCATCCTGCAAGCACAGGGACATACAGCAAACCTTCCATGGCTTTATGCTTGGCCCCGGATACATGTTCCAGTTGCTGACGGGTGGGCTTCGGGTTGTAGATACCTGCTTGCCTGAAATGCAGCATGTCTCATGTATCCGATCCAAACATGCCTGCGCGGCTTTGTTGGAGCATAGTACTCCTGCAGGAGATTTTGGAGCAGCAGCAGCAGAATAAGATGCTGACGTTAGCCTTGCAACAGCAACTTGCTCTTGCCAGCCATTTGACTGCATTCAGATTTATTAACCGAGACGGTCACATGAAATTACAGTGTACAGCTTGGCTCAGTGTATGCATTGCGTCATTCCCGTCTCCAACTGGGAAGCAAGGAGCAGACATGCCACCTCAAGCTTTTGAAGGCATACAAGGGCATACAATTTCTGCATGCTCAGGCACCACGTTTGGCTCCTTCGGCCTCTTGAAGGGGCTGCAGCCTTTTCAAGTCGCGTCGTTGCCAGTCTCAGGCCCCGCATGTTTTTGTATTTGCAAGCTCTGAGCAAAGCCTCCAATTCCTAGCTTCAGTGGCCTGTCAGATGAGTTCGTCGACATGGAGCCCGCGACTCATGACCTTCCTAGTTTGCAAGAAGATGCAAAGGCCTGCCGTTTGTCGTGGGTGTGACCTGGCCTGGGATTCAATGTGTCTGCTGAAGGCAGCTCCCACTAAGCGCCGTGGAGGTCGTCGAGGAAAGGGCCGAAGTCAGTCCAAAGGCATGGTGGCCAATTCAGCTGGACGAACCGAGAAGTGACTGGCATGTGCCTTTGGAGCAGGTGAGTACGGTGATTGCAATTTGGAGGTGGAAGAGTTCTGAGCATTCATCAGCGGTTGAATCGTTTGGCCGGAGCAAGTCCACCTGTAGACTGTAGACCTACCATCACCCAGAGAGTAGGGTTGTATAGACCTTAGAAAGTTTCAGTCAGCGGCGCCCTGGTGACACTTTTGCTGTATAACTCTGCTTCAAGTGTGCTACCTCTACTTATAGCACATGACACAGACGATTCTCAGTTCCAGGAAGCGCGCTAACTGCATGGATTCGTGCTGGCGCTGTGCCAGTGATTCTATATTCAGCCAGTGTTGTGCAACACGGCCACTGTTTGCTCTACTGACAGATTGTACAGCTGGTTTCAGGCAAGCACCGCTCACCCGCATTGCACATAATGAGAATGGCATGGGCCTTTCAAATCTGTTCGGAAGTTGCCTGAGATTCTGTTTGAAGATTCCAAGTTTTAATTCCTGTAACTCGCGGAGGCACCGCTCGTGACCAAACAGCCCTCTACAGCCTGTGCAGGGTCATGAACACCTTGGACGGGCCATTCTCGGTTCCTGATGCGCAGGCAGAACTGTCGAAGCACATTCCGGTGGTGCATGCCACAATCGGAGGACAAGCCGGGTAAACCTTGTAGCCAACTTGACACCCTGTACCCATTGCTTCAGTGCCTCTAGTTTGCGAAGCTTCATCGCTGCCTGGTCTCCGACACTTCAGAAACGTCCTGCGATTGACGTTCTGGCTTGGATTGGGTGATCTAAGCTGGGTGACGTAGTGAGAAGCTGTCGCAAACAGCGCCTGTCACGGTTGGGGGCTAGGAGCGGTGTTGTGTCTGCTGTTATGCAGTTGATGAACAAGATGATGGCTTTGTTTGGCTGCGCGTGCGTGAAAGTTTCCCTACGTTCGTAAAGTGGTGCGACGCTTGAAGACTTGCCCGCAGCTTTGGGTACCTTTGCGGTCAGACCGCGTGCAGGCTCCGTCCTCTGCAAACTGACTTTATCTCTTAGCCCGGCTTGCGCATTTGTTTGGCACTGGAGTTTGTATGCGCTGCTTACTTTTGGGATGGTCAGGTGTGTATCTGATGATCTGAGTTAGCACCACGTTTTTGCCTGCGCCGATGAGTCGCACTTTGCAGTTTCCTTGTCTCATCGACTTTCCTTGTACGGTGGCCGACCACCTGGGTTGAAGACTTGCTGCCTACCCTGGACTGGCAAGCGTTACGAGCGCAAAACATTTTCTCTCTGCACGAGGCAAAAGAGCCTATTCTGCAACGCTGACTTTCAACATGTTGGCAACAGGAGGACAAATCCAACATTTGGGAAGCTTCAGGTTGCTGCTGAAAGCTCACCTTGGCGGACGCCAGAAGCGTGTTGCGACGAATACTGCTCGCAGGAAAGCGTGGGTATTCACTCCAAACAGTGTTCTTGCATGAAGTTAGCAGGTGCAGGTCGATGCAATGCCAGGATGCGTTCGATCCACGGCGCGGAAAAGTATGTAACGGCACAGCAACATGGCAAGCTACTACATTGCTGCAAGGCAGCGAGACGATCCTGTTAACTGTTATTTCTTCATTCATGTTCTTCCTTGAAATCACGGGCCTGGATATGGATTAATTGCATGTTTGGTTTGCGCAGTTGCTGCGAGGAACCAGGATCTGTGGAAGGGTCCTGCGCTGAGCTGGCGGTCGGCACGCATCTAGCCCTTGAGAAATGCCAGTAAAGGTCACAGTTGGCAATCGCCATGGCCTTCTAGTGCCAAGCATCACGACAGATCAGGCACACACTTGAGTTGTCTTTCTGCATGTTTTGGGCAGCATGTTTCAAGAGGAGTTGGCACATCTTAGAAATCATCTTCCAGAGGGAATCCGAGTCCAGAGCCCAGTTTCGGGGGCAACAGCTTGGAGTGATCCACTTCTTGCCTTACTCTATGTCGTTGAGGTCCAGAAAGTTGAGGAGCGTTTGTCAGCACTCGGAAATTGCATCGCGTGCAATGACTACGTGACGCCTGCCGCGCTTCCGTTGCAAACGTCAAGAAGGCAGATGATTGTGGAGCTTCACACGGCAGGTAGCACTTGTGCACACTGATCTGGATCGAGAGACCGAAGAAGTGATTGCAGATACTCTCAAGGCCGGCATTCTGGCAGCAAGGTTTTTGAATCCTATGTGCATGGCAGGTTGACGTTTTCCGGGCAACCGTTGCGCAGAACGTCCTTGTAGGCAGCTACTGCGGCCTTTCTGCACATTGCAAGGTTCGGTTCGTTTTGCTGAATGCCCGAGGTCAGGTAGAGTGCACCATTCATTTGAAATGACATCCCCCATTACTGGACCTTTGGTTCCTCTGCTAGTGGCATCCTTTGCTATTGCCTAGCAGCATGCATAGGCCCCATCGGTCTAGACAGCGGAAGTTTCTAGTCAGCTAGTTAATCTGAATTATCGTCTGTGCCGAACAGGTGTGCAGTCTCAAATCTCCACATCCCCTATGGACCCGCTTACCGGTGTTGTTTGCAAGTCCCACTCGACTGAATGTATCTTCGGCCCGGGTAACCCTACTCATCCGATATCTGAGGTGTCCTGACCAATCAGGTGGCCCGTGGAGTTTGTTGAACTGATTGTTGAGTTCTGTGACAGCTCCTGGAGCCAGGGCGGCCTTGTACATGCCCGGACGCCGATGCAAGACATGGTTCCTGGGACCAGAAAGTATCAGCAAATGTGTAGGCAAGCCAGTAACCCCGCTCAAGACCTTGGAAACACACGCCAGGAGGAGCTCTCCCAACTCATTCAGGCCTTGCTGACAGGAATGTGCAGTCAGTCCTTGCAGATGCTTGGTGCTGGCGCTGACCATCTTACTACATAATTGTTTGCGGCAGGTGCCCTTGACCGCTGGCACAGTGAATCGCGGGTCTGCCACAGCCTTGGACGTGCAAATGGTTTTGCTTTCGGGTTTGCTCGGGCATTCTTTGTGTTTTCTTTCCGTTTGTTTTGTCGTCATGCAAGGACATCATTGGTGCTGGAGTAGTTGCCAACGATTGGGCTGCCTTTTGTGGCACAAGCCCCAGAAGGGGCTCCCAGCAGCCGATGTGTAGTATCCATGTGTGATGTGCAAGCCCAAGGCATGGACACGACGGCCACAGAGATTGGGGTGCTTGGCTGTTCATGGTCATGCTTAGAAGCTCCATGGCCTCAAGCTCAGGTACTGGAGAGCATCTTCAAGCTGCAGAGTGCAGGTGCAGGCTGCGCTAGCTGCATGTTTCCGCAAATTTCCTTCTGCTCGTACTGCCGCAAGCAGGCATGCAGAGTGCTCTCATCGACACCATTATGTGAGTCCCGCATTTGTGTGAATCATTATGCGCAACCATGGTTCCAGGATGTACGAAGTAGATTAACACAATGCTTTAAAGCCGCCTCACTCCAATCAGGCTAAGCTCAGGGTTTGCGTTAGAGCATCGTCCATGCTATGGCTGACAAATGCCACGAGTGAGTCTCACGCGGATCCAGAGAAGCTGTTGAGTCACCGGCTCAGCAGAGCTGTCCAATTTCACCCGATGCCTGCGGTACGTCTCGTTATTGTGCTGGCTGCAGGCTGCATATGGCTGCATCATTCTTGTCTAGATGGCTTCGTGGTTGGCTTGAAGTTTGAAGTTCAGGATGCCATGGGCAGGCTGGCAGCTTCCAGTGCTCAGGCCGAGTCTGTACAGCCGAGTGCTGCAGCTCTTCAAATTCGATCTTGCAGTTTCGCCTGCAAGATGCGCCCGAAGGGTAAAGCCTGTTCTGCAAGCCATGCAACGCTCGGATTGCTCGGCACCAGTGACAGAAAAAGAGGGCAGCCAAGACCAGCAGCTGTCTTTGCATGTCTGGTTCATGGTGCATAAGTGGACTCAAGGGCCCTGGACTCAGAGCCAGATGAAAGTTTTGACCAATCTCGGCCCAGTTTCATGCTTGCAAGATCAAAGACATGTTGCGTGACAAATGCCGGCATGTGTGAACTAACATTCGATGGCCGCGCTGCACCCCATCTCGTTAAAACTTGTGTGCCCTTTTTCTTCCTAGTCTTTGACTGCTCTCTTGTTGACGCCTGGCTCTTGGCTGCCGTCCTCTGATGCTGGCGACATCTGGCGACATCGCGGCAGGGCTGTCGGCGATTGCTTCCGACAAGTTGGCGGTGGAGGATCATGACGAAGCCGTCAACACTGTCGTCGTGCCCCAAGATAATTACCCCCAGAGTGGCAACTAAGCCCACCTAAGATGCTCTGACGTTCCCGCCTGAACCCACCGTTTTGCCACTAAATGGCACCAACATCTCCAGGGACTGGTTGCCACCCGGGTCGATGACGTTGGACGTGTTGATGGCAATGCCTTTCTTGGCAGATCTTGGCGGTCTGTGAAGACGGCCCAACGCCATCCAAGAGCAGGTCAACGGCAACCCGTTGGACGTCACCCTCCTCGCCACCGCAATCCCAATCCTCGCACCCGACTACCCCTACTGCCGCTGCGGATCTGTCGCGAGGGAGAGCGTTGTAACGCCTCATCCCAAAGGGTCAGCCCGATGGTTTTGCGCATGTTCACCATGCAGTCTCGGCAGCACACAGTGCCCTGCAATTTTCTTTGACAGGCACTCTCATCATCCATCCAATTAACGCACTTGCCAAACTACACGAATTTCATCGTCTCTCTACCGGCACATGTCCTACATGCTTTGGTGTCCGTCTGGCCACAGATTGACATGAAGGTACAACGCGCAGGATTTGATCCTGCGGTTAGCATCCTCGTCTATTGGGTGGCTTGTGAAACTCTGGCCTTCATGCCGCAGCATGGGATGCTCGAGTGTCGTCCGCGTTCCCTTCAATGAACAGCTGACAGTGTTACAAATTAATGGTCAGACTCCTCCCGCCTGAGATGCTGCACGACAACAGCCCACTTGCATCAGGCCCGACTACGGATTCGTAAATCCTTCGCACCGCTGGCTTTGTTAATGCAACCTGTGCTACTTTTCCATTTAGCACTGAATCCCTAAGCCTACAGCATTCTTGATTTCGGACCGGCCATAGAAGGGTAAATTCGGCACTGCATATGCAAATAAATTCAGCAAGGAATCTGCTGCATGCTGCCATGAATGTGTCGCATTCAACGCGACAACATGTTGCATCATGTACTAACAGGTGGTACCACAGAAGAAAGATGGTGAGCAAGAAGTATCAGGAAGTGCAATCGTTGGCCGCAGCTGTGCTTTGGCTGGAGGCCTCAGGGTAGGTGACATTCGAACTCTAAGCCGTACACACTAAAGCCCGAAGCTTTCGAGCCTTGAGCCCCAAACCTCAAAACCAGAAGCTGGAACCCAAGACCCTTGACCTGAAAGCTCACATTCTTTTCAATTGAACGCAGCCACTTCGACCCTGAGTCCCCAACCTGCCGTCCATGGCCCCCAAGCCAAAGGCAAGGCTGGAAGCACTGAAATCAGGGTTATGGCCGCAGTATTCAGAAGTGAACGTGAGTACGCCTACGCAACAATGCATGAGGAAAGCCTACAATATTTGAAAAGCGTGTTTTTGCCGGTTTTGTTTGTGAGTTCAGTCACAAGGGCTTGCCCGTTGAAGTTCGGTGCACTGGCCGCGTGGGAGATCCTGGGAGTTCTTGCATTTTGGATTCATTTGGGCTCGCAGTTTTCAGGGGGCGCGTCTGCATCCTGAAGAGTTGTGAAGCAGCTATGAGATCTTGTGGGGCTGGCGCGTAATCCAGTCTTGTGCGCATTGTTGGGGCACGTTAGTCCTCAAGCCCAGACGCGCAACATGAGACTTTACGACCCAGAATAACTGCTGAGACTCCGTCGGGCTGGAGGGAATGGCAGGATTGCAAAATCATCCTGTCCTGGGTGCAACTGGTGAGGGTTTTGGGGATCCTCGACCTTGCGGTACTCGGTAGCACGGAGAAAGCGGCACCTCTGTTGAATGGACTTATGCTAAGATGGGTGAGCGCGTGTAGAGATCCACATGATCAGGGACTGCAAGCGATTTCCTTGTGGAAGCCCGTCGAGAGTGGTTGTCCCGATCATAGTAACAACAGTAAGCTGTTGCAATTCAAGAGAATCTAAGTTTGCTCTGCTTCACTTGCTCTACTTCAAAGGCTCCTGCTGTCTTGGACAGGCAAAAGCTGGGCTGAAGCGAGCACCAGGTGCAGCGCACTATTGCCGAGGTTGTTCCATGTCAGAAGGGATCCACTCGCTATGCGCTGGTTGTTGACAAGAACGGAATGCATCAGTCTTGAGCTACAGGACTACAGGCGGCCCATTGTCCGGAGAGAGTTACGTGATTCACGGCTATTTGGATCTTACACAGAGCGTTCAAGAATATTCTCCATGGAGTCCAGCTAGAAACAGCCAGAAACTTCAAGCATCCAAGCCATCCTGCAGCAGGAGAAGTCCGGGAAGCCAAGGAGGACAGCAACATCTTGTTGCCAAAGCACGCCTGACCCTCGCTGACGTGATCGCGTGAAGGAAGGAACATGTACATAGATCTCAATATTGGTGTGCCCGTTGCCATTTTTGATCCTTAGCATGTTAGTTGATGGAGTAGAGCATCGGACCGCAGAGCTGCATCAAAATGTCGATGGATGATGCAATGGCGCTGTTTCACAGATTTGATGTCAATGGCAACGGTACCCTTGGGTTTGATGAGCTTCGTGAGCCACTGCGTCGCAACAGGAGCCGTTGATGCAGAACATTTGTAGCAAAAGCAATGACTGTGCATCCTAGGTTGTTGCTGATTGTTGGCGTGCCAGCTTGCGACATTCCCGGCCTGTTTGGCATCATTGACACAAACGCTGATGGCAGCTTGTCCACTTCGTGCTATCTTGAAGATGAACAGAGCTCTGCACCAATTCATGACTTATGCGGCGATATTTGACACGTCCAGCATGTCCCAGGTAATGTGGACTTTGAGGAGTTTGTTCGATGGATGTGGACGCAGCCGGTTGATGCCAAGGTAGCTTTAAACCTCTAGCCGTAAACGTGTGGCTGCTGCTCCATGGTGTTCTCAGATCAATACTCTGGAAGGAAAAAATGGTGGGCAGCACAGCTGTGGCTCGACAACTGTTGAGGGAAATTGCCGACAAGTTGGATGCAGAGCGTGTGCCATACGCTGCTTGGTTGCTACCAGCGCCACAAGAAAGACATGTTTCTGCAGTTGCTCGAGCAGGTTTAGCGACATGGCATGTCCCCTGCCCCCAAAACAACACATGATGCTGGGTGCATTGCCAGGACGCTCTTTTCGTGCCTCTTGGTTGCATCAGCCCCGTTCTGACAGGAAGACATCACTTGCATGTCGATTGGAAAGCTCAAGCATTGTCAGCTAGATTCCAGACGTCGACAATGAAGCAAGGAATGCAGATGTCAGCCGCGATGGCCTGCTCTCACGCTGCTTAGCTTGCAGCACGATGAAAGGGAGCCTTGCATCGGGGCCTATCGCTGAGTCAGCATGAACTGAGAGAAATGTGTCGGTTTGATAGTTTCCCCGCTTACCTATTGAAGAGACAAGCGATGCCCCAAGCCTTATCGGCGTGCTTGCACGTTCTGGCAGTCTGCTGCTAAGTCCAGCGTTCCAATGAGCTGCCTAGGTGACGAGCTGTCACGAATATTGATGGCATACCTGCCAGATGTCACATCATCAGTTCTGGAAGAAGCGTTCAATCTATGTGATTGGGACAGCAGCGGCTGGCCGCTGCCTCAATTGACTGTCAGAACAGGTGAGGCTTCTTTCAAACAAGTAGCCGTACCAACATACTGCCTTTCAAGATATGGCTTTGGTGTGACGAATCATTCCTGCAATTGAAATTGGTGTCGTGTGGTTCTCATCATATCTTTCTCCTGCCTTGAGCTGCACTTGTTAGGATAAACGTGGAGGAGTTTGTGGTGGCACTTCGCCGAGAGGCAGTAAATGCAGTGCTGTGCCGCTTGTTTGGGATCCTGTTGTACCACGGAGCCATCAAGTCAAGCAAGCCCGCCGTATCCCGCAGTCTCGTGCCTTGCTCCCGTCAGGCCAGCAGCTTGCAGGCCAGGTGCCTGCACAGCTTAGCTCTCCTTTTAAAAGCAGAGTTTCCTTCTTGACAATTGGACGCTGCCGCAGTTTCAAGATCTTTCAAGTACATCGCGGGCCCAGTGAATTTTGCTATGCTGTAGATCCTGTCAACATTGTATGAGGCCACAGTGCCAGCGACAGTGGACGTCGAAGTAACGATACCACCTGGATGGCGCTATGGAATGCAGTTGCCAGCATTATGCCTGCAATTGGAGCCGTTGTCCCTGAGATAATGCAAGCCTTCCGGGGGTAACTGCCCAGGTCACTTACGATGGTAACATGTACTACGTGGATGTGCCGGCGGCGTGCACTTAGTCAGACTTCTCGTCTACTTATGAGAGTTATTTGTTTTCTTCCAGTCAATTCTTCTCAACAAGGTGCCTGCAGGATGTGCTGTTGGCAGTTCATTCAACACGACTTTGCAGCGAGCAGCGTGAAGACGCCGCTCAGGGAGCCTATCGGTCAAACCGACTTGGTGGCTCCCTGGCTGCAGGTGCAAAGCACTTGCAGCAGGTCCTTCTGCTTCGAGGAACCGTAGTCACCTCCCACGGCGTTGGGTATCAAGTACAGCCGCGGGCTTTGGCAAATGCCACCAGTTTTGAGAGTGGTGGTTGTTGTATACTTAGATTATTGGATTTTGCGTCTGCCCGGTCTACCCTGGTGTCCATCTCGCAAAGCGACGTGTGGTGCAGCCGGGAAATGTGGCGAAGAACAGGCAGTCAAAAGAGCGGTGATTGATTTCTTTCCGACAGCTAAGCTGAGGCGGTTTTGTTGTCGTGCCACACCCGCAATCATTTTGACCGTGATCTTATAACCACCAGGTTGGCCACCAAGTTAAGCATCAGTTTCTGAGTCAGGTCCGCCAGATCAGCGAGTTGACAGAATTGGACGAGCCGCAGGACAGTTCCGGTCGCCCGCACAAGTCACAGCATCCTCCGCAAAGGCTTCAGAAAGCATCCTGAAAGGAAGCGTCGTCCAAGCCGAAGGAACCTGCAGCTAGCCGAGTTTTTGGGTTGGATGTCTCAAATCCACATGTCACGAGTCTACAAGGCCAGTGTGCCCTGTTCTGCCGCGGGTGAAGCTCGCCCTTTGGCATCGCAGCCACAAATTCAGGGACACAGGAAGTGCGCCATGTTCCAAGCCGGTTTTGCATGACCAATGGAATCCAAGGGTATGATTTTTCTCATGGGGGCGCACACTGCAAGAAGCAAGTGGCTCTCTTCAATCTGGGTTATTCTGGAAAACATTGTCTTGTTAGTGTTGGCCCAAATTGAGGTCGCCTCTTAAGATTGACTTATGTTATGTTTAGTGGTGGGACCTGGATGTGACTTACAGTGCTCAGTGAGTTGCATGGGATACCTTATCAACACCTACAACACAAATGGGAATGTGCTTAAGTCGTGCTATCTTGCAATTTATTAAGTGTTCTGTTTCTTCAAGCGGCCTTGCTGCAACCTGAGGTAGGGCTCCTTCTGGTGCGGTATTTCTACCAGAACATTGGTTTCATGGATATGTGATGCAAGGCCTTGATACAGTCTCATGACGGCAGGTACGCTCAGGCTCTCACGTCGCCTTCACTCCAAGTTGTAGATGCAAGGCAGCTGCATGCAGCACAGTTGACAGTTACGCAAACATGTCTGAACTTCCCACTTGAAGCTGTCTAGCCCAAAGTGGCTTCTGCCACGATGTTTGCCCTTGAATTTGGGTATGACCGGCGGAGAGTTTTGCCTAGTCAGGTTGTTTTGAGCAATGCCTTTAGGGAAAATTTTGGAAGACTCACGTCTGAATTTTGCAACTTCAGGATTGCAGCCACCTTGCGTTCGCTGATTGATGAGGTGTAGGGAGGTGCGCAGTTTCCGCGTGCGCGGGCAGCATTCCGTGTCGTCACTCAAAGTTATACCTCACCTAGGCGATGGACGACGTCAGCCTGACCAGGGCTGATATCAGTGCCGACTCGTGGTTTTCGCTCAACCGCTTATCGGCTCCGCGATGACCATGGATTAGACTTCAAATTGACAGGCTTTCCTGCACACTTGGACGTCAAGTGCAATCAACTTAGTTGGAGAAAGGAGAAGCATAAGTACTTTCCACTTTGTCAAATGCTGCTGGACGCGCACACCAGGAACTTGCACAGCTACAGCGGTGACAGCAGCAAGCAGTCAACAACTTGACATGCCCTTTCAATTAACCCCTGAGACTCAGCAGGCACCTGGAGGCCCTGATTCTGACTTCAGTCGTGAAACATAGACCACTTATGCGACATAGCCGCGACCCAACAGCAGCGGCGATCGATCTTTCAGTCACAGTATGGCACAGGAAGTAGAATCAGTAGCCTCGAGCACCCACATGCGCAACAGTGTCAAGCAGTTTGGAGTTTGGAGTCACCGAGTTCATCCGGCAGGCAGCTGCCGTTTCAAGCATCGCCTCGAGGAGCAGCTGGAATTGATGTGGGCGTTGCGCGTGATTGACATGTCTGCCCACGCGTGAATCCAAGGCAGCGTCTCCAAGCGCATCTCAGCGAGGGCAAACTCAGGTTTGGTATTTCCAAGAGAAGCTTCGAGCAGCTTGTTCCAGGGCCCTTGCATTTGCTGTTTTATTGAAAGACAGGCTCAAGCTTGGGAGATGTGCGTGCATTTGGCGCAGCTGCTTGAGCTCTTGTATTCTCATTTGTTTGTATAAACATTTGGAAGATATTCACAGACAGTTGCTGGCTGCAGCCAATGGAAAGCTCCCAAGCACTGGAGAATGCGAAACGCATTCTTGGTGAAGCTTGTCAGGGGAGTCTTCGCGATGCCTCCGCCGTTGCTGCTGATTGGCTCACGGTGGAGCGTGGGCGGGATCTCTTCTTGCCGGGCTGGGGAGGCTTCGATGTTCTGGATGCTTTTCATGCTTGTCAAGCTGCCGGTGCGGAAGGGGTGCCCAGTGTTGCCGAGTTGAGAAGAGCCTTGCCTTGCAAGAAGCCCTAGCACGTTTTTTTTTCAAGAGCCTAGGTTTTCATACTCTGACATGGTCACTAGCTCTTAACTGAGGCTTTGGGTATCTTATCAAGTTTTTTCCGGAGTCAGACAAGATTGCCAGTGGCCGTCTTCAACGCTTGCTCCTGGCACCAGAGAGTTTGCTTGCGCGATATGTTGTGCAGCACAAGTCCTTCTGGGGGAGTGCTGAAAACATCAACAGACTTGACGAGGTTGAGCGACATTTTTCCGAGGTTTGTACAGGTAGCAGTTCAAAGGTGTTGAAGGAGGAGCCCCGGAAGCTTCTCAATCGCTTGGCTCGCGACCAAGCTATTGCAAGGCATCCGCTGGTTCATTTTGCGCACTTGGCTTCGCAAGTGGCGGCCGGGTTTGATGAATCGGGTGTACTTTGTCAAAGCGAGTCACCATGCTTCGAGCTGACGGTCCTCTTAGACTCACATACGGTGGTGCGAGCATCGCAGGAGCTAAACAATTGTGCTGCAGACTATGTCAGAGACATTCGGCAGCGACGCTGCGCGCTTTTAGTTCTTCGCTCCAAGAGGTTGATGGCTATGGGTGAGTGGGACTTGCATGACCGACGTTGGTCACAAATCTCTGAGCACAGTGATGAGCCCGTGCGCGAAGAATGGTTGAGGATGTTTGAACAGATGGAGGGCGAGTGGCTTTTCCCAGCTGTATGCTCCTTGTGCTTGCCCAATCTGTCTGGTGCAGGCTCCTTGTTGCAAGATGTTTCACAAGATGCTGTTTCTATCTTTAATCTGGAGGGAGCAAGTTGCCTGGAGCGAATGTGCAGCACAGCGGGCGATCATCTTCGACCATGCTTGGGTTGGCCGTCTCTTCTACCAGAGGCTGCCTCGTGCCACACGGAGGCGATGACGGCGCTGCTTGTGTGGACGGCTGCTGATGTCTTAAGTGTGGAAAGTGAGTCGGACCCAGACGTACTGGACGTTGTTGAAAAGCTCATAGTCCGTCGCGCTGACCCTCAAGCCATGACAGATCAAGGCTGGTCACCCTTGATGTTCGCTGTCCTGGCTGGTCATGCAGACCTAGCAGTCAAGCTGCTTGAAGCAAATGCGGACGTCGATGCGAGGAGTGGCCAGAGTGGAAGGACAGCTTTGATGCTTGCGTGTAACAGAGGCGACGTAAGCATTGTCAGTTTGTTGCTTGATAGCAAAGCTGCTGTGGACGCCGCATCGCGGATTGACGGACGGACTGCTTTACTTCTGGCGGCCAGCAGCTCAGCTGCCCCTCAGCATCACATTACTGTTGCCTGTTGCCGCTGTTGCGGCAATGTCCTGCAGTGCTGACCACCATCCTTATAGTGCAGCAGCACACTATGGCTCAGACAGTTTCGAAGTTAGCAAGTCCTGTCTTCTCCTTCATAGGATATACGGAAGCGGACGACGCTGGTGTTAATACTTCAGAACTCAGACTTCAGCTCGCGAAGCCTGCGTTCTCGGGGTCTCCAAACACAGCTGGTTTTCATAGGATGGCTGCATTCTCGGCGCCGCAATGGCTGCGAGCCCATGGAAATGGCCCAGCCTTGCGCTCATGCTGGCGCAACTTGTCTGCAGTGTTCAGAGCCAACTGTTTCCCGAGCTGTGGCACTTTTGTTCGCATCAAGGCAGAATGCCATTACGCCGATCGTGTTTAGATACGTGCCTTGTCTAAACCCTCAAAAGCTAACATGGGAGGGGCTTTCTGCCGTAATTGTTGCTTGGGCAGGCCACAACTGGTGCAAAGGAAGGCGACAGATTTAGCACTGTCGTGTCCATTGGGTGCCAGGACAGGGTTACGCGTGCCATTACCTCTTCAGTTGCAAAGTTGCACGTTATCACTTGCAGTGCGACAGGAGGGCTTGAAGCTGGTTCTGTCCCTTGTCTTGGTCATCTTTGAGCATGCAGGGCTACAAGGAGCCTGGGCGGCGCTCCGTGCTATACAGCCTGGTGACTCCATCCGACTGGCGGTTCCGGCTGTCCTCTTCGTGCTCCAGAACGCTGCTGTCCACTCAGAGACTCCTTGCCGTGCTTGCAGGAAGAGGCTTCAGTGGATCGTCGAGCTTGGCTGTTCCAGCCGAGGCCATGCAGCTCGCTACTGTCCACCTGCCAGCAGCTCTTTTCCAAGTCTTGTGGCAGGGTAAAACGAGCCTTGGCTGCAAATGCAGGGTATTTGACCAAGTCTGCCGCTGTTAACCGCCATGAGAAGATGCTGCAGGCTGGTCATGGCAGGACTTTCTGTTTTGCTGCTGGACAAGCGCTTGGTGCGTTCATCCTGGCTTGCCATTGCTTTGATGGCTGCCACTTAGCACGCAGGAATCTAGAAGCATTCCGGAGGTCCACATTTCTTCTGTGGGTGAATCGAGCAGAATCACAAGATCGACGCACGTTTAAAAAATGCGGACTGGCGGCAGATGACATATCACATAATGAAGGTCAAGCTGGCTGAAATGTGAATTTAGGTGGCCAATCTAAATCATGATTGGACTTCCTGCAAGCCTTGTTTTAAGCTTTACCCGGTGCCTTTTTTTCAGTATCTGGAATTGCAATGTTGGCTTAGCAGTTGCCAAGTTACCGACTTGTCAAGATGTTGTCACGAAACAAGATTGCTGGTCGAAATGCTCATCTTTGCTGAGCCACAGTCAGCAAGAAAATTTAGCAAGAGCGCACCAGAAACCGTGCCACCCCGGCTGCTTGCGGTTGGCAGACATGTTGCGAGAACATGTGTGCAACGCCTTGTAAGCCTGCAATGCTGATCATGACGAGGTAACAACGTATCATGATATATCTTCATGCTGAAGCGTTGTGGTTAATGAGGCCGGTCCGAGCTAGGTGCCACATCTATCTTGTGCCTATCCGTCGGGCGGTATGGGGGGAACAGGAAATCATGCCAAGTACCAAGTGTGCGCTCTTTTCGTCAGATTGTTGCACCCTATGCATTTGCGGTATCAATTCAGCTCACTTGCTTTCATGACGTTAATGGATTTCAAGGCTGGCATTGCCTGCGTCCAGCTCTCGCAGAGCAAGGACTCAAATTCAACGCTTTTAAATCATTTGTGTCTGATTGCAGCTCCTCAGCTCGTGGTGTGCTTCAGGAGGGAAAGCAGGCGTCCATGGCGAATGCAAGTGAACAGCGGCCATCGCTAGGCCTGCTTGGGGTGGTGTCACATTATGACAGCGTTGAGATTGCAGTGTGCAGGTTTTCTCTTTGTTCTTGGTGGGTGCTTCTGCAGCGGTTTTGCAGTGTCTCGGCTTGCTAATGTCAGCACCATGCATGGTCTGCAAGCTGCAACAAGTTGTCACGAGGCAGTCTACCTGGAAAAGCTTGTAAAACAAGCGGGCAAAGCGGTCAAAACCTCCATGTGGGTGCAAAACATGCAGTTGGTGCCTGGGCAGATGCTAAGTTCTTCAAGTGTTTCGGGGGAAGGTCAGCAACTTCAGTACAGCCGATCCTTTGTTTGATATTGTGCTCATGAGGCATTCTACTCTTTGATCTTGACCGGCATCACGACCGGGGCATCGCGGGGAACCTCCGCTGTTGCGGATCCGGGACATCAGGAACCAAGTCATGGGATCTTCCATGGATTTACGTTTAATGTGCTCTAGTTGCAAAGAGCATTTGCAACAGTGCATGGAACTCGAAAGCCTTGCAATGTGTGAGGTGTGGATCATGGTGTTTAACAATGCAATAGGCAGCTCATCAGAAAAGAGCTTGTTCGACTTCGCTGGCAGTTTGAATGCGTTTGGTTGACCCTTCAGCAGGTGGGCTGCTAGTGGCCCTTGTTATCAAGCATGCTGACAATATACTCCGTGGCTTCTCGACCGCTCTTGCGGCTTGGCATTAATTACCACCCGCTTAGCTCTTGCACATGCCAAGACATGGAATCAAGGCTACCGTGCTGACAACGTGCCTTGGCAGGATTGTTTGACAATTGTATGCATCCCAAGCCACCGAGCACCGTGTGATCAGTTGGTGCCCCCCTTGCCCCATCAGTTCCCCGCGGGCCTTAGAGCACCTCCAGAACAGCCGAGGATTCTGTCGGTAGTATGCTTTCGCTTTGAAGTCCACATATCGTTCTTCTTTGGCGGACTGCTGGTGGTGGGCAGCTCCCTTTTGTATGGAGGCGCTCCTGAATTTTGCAGAAGGGTTGCACTTATGAAGGACCCGCTTGAGGTGCAGTGAAGATTCCTGGTGAGTGGTGGAACACGGATCCCTGCAGCCGGACTGTGAAATATGAGTAGCGACCTCGACATGCACGTGCTGCCTGTTTGCAGGGGAACTCCTGTCATGGAGAGCTAAATCAACTGGGGCCTCTGTGGAAGCTGAGGGCGGTGGAGATGCAGCCTCAAGTGATTGGCGACGAGACTTCCAAGGATGGAGACGCCAAGTTGTCTGAGTCAAGGTGGAAGTCTGATGTAGGTGTATGCTCAGGACTGCAAGGAGGAAGCAAACCACTGAGCACTTTCCCGGTGAAGTGCATGGCGCGGCTCGCGGGCTCACGCAGGGAAAAAGGTGCGTGGTCTTTCTTGAAAGCACGCGCGCATGCTTCACATGTCCGCTGGAGCTGGTGGTGAAGACTGTGCATCCCGAAGTCCAAGGTCGAAATTGGTGCCTGGAACATCACTCAGCTTCTCCTCGAGGTTGGCAAGCACAGGGCTTTGTAGTGTGCGCTGGTCCGGCCTGGTGGCAGGCGGCTGCAGAGACAAACGCTCGCCGGTTTGATGGCAAGACGGTGGCCATGCTAGCGGTACGGCTGACACGTTGCAACCCTGTAGTCTGGCTGCATCGAACAGTTGGAAATCGTACAAATCCGTACAAGTCATCCTCAATACCTCGCACATGAGCGCTAATCAGCCCAAGAACCAAACGCCGATATCTTTGAAATTTTTCGTCAGGGAAACCTGAAAACATCGCACGTTCTTGGAGGCAGACAATTGGAGGGAAGCACGGACGACAAGTGAGACAGCCCATCAGCATGCTATGATCTTGAAGGCAAGCCAACTGAAGAGAAACATACGGGAATCGAGGCCGACACATTCCCGTTGGCAGGGAGCAACTCCCATACCAAAATGTAAGGAACAATTCCATTTGAGGAACCATGATGGTCAAATGGTACTGCCATGCCAGGTGGAAGCCTCGGAGACAGGCATGGTGAAGCAGCTGGCGCGGCAGAGGGCGGACCTGAATGCCATGGTGGGATCCTAAGAGGCTGTTCTGTGACTGTTCCTATGCCTTCCCAGAAACCTTCCTGGCAGGACGATGCGGGCTGCACGGCGCTGGCACTCGCGCTGACGCGGCGTCCGCTGCTTGGTGTTGTGCCTACGGCCAGATGTGTGGCAGAGGGATGATAAAAGATGATGAAAGGTTCCGGAGTCATGGAGCTGCTGCAGTCTCTCGCGGATGGCAAGTGTGACCTGAACTTGTGCGAGCCCTATTCGCAGCTGCTGAAAGGCGTGAGCAGCTTTGCAAGTGTTCTCCAGGCCGTGGTCTGCCTACAAGAAATCGCCAACGTCTGCGCTTGCACTGGCTGCTGAAGCTGGAAGCATCGAGGTTCGTCACAGGTTCAGAAGGCATGTTCTAGTTTGTTTCGGGCAGGTTGTGGAGCTGCTCGTGGAATGCCGGGCGTCATTGAATTCCACCGGTGCGCTGCGCGCTGCCGGCTTGGCCGGGCGCTGGCCGGCAGTGCGGCGGCTGATAGAGCTGCAAGCGGACCCGGACTGCTCAGAGCTCCTCCTTTCAGCCGTGCGAGCCGGGGACCAGGACATGGTGACTTTGCTGTGCTCTCGCAAGGCCTCTCCCAATGCCCTCAGTGAAGCGGGCAGCGCCTGTGCCGTGGCAGCCGCAGCTGGCCTGCTGCCGGTACTTCAAACCTTGGCCTCGGCCCGTGCGGATCTGGACCAAGCGGGTTTGAATGGCAACGTTTTTTTGCACTTTGCAAGTCCACACGTTGCACGTATTTGCACGTTGCCGGGTTGTTCGGACCAAGCCTTGGGCTCAAGTGCTACAGCTGGACAGCTTCTCATGAAAGAGGCACAATCCAAATTGGGAAGTGAACCGGGATGTGACTTCTAAAACTGAAGCCACGAAAGAGCAGTGCTCCAACTTGCAAACTTCGCCTGTACTGCATATGGGTGGGCGGAGGGTGCTGCATCTCGCCCGAAGCTCATGGGCCTTGCTAGCGCTCCCTCTTGCAAGCTCAACGGTCTTCATTTGCAGAGTTTGGTGCGGCAAGACAAGCTGCCCAAAGACCGTTCGGCATGTGGCAGGCAGCGCTTCAAAGGTCCATCACGTGACAGATCCAGATGATCCTCGGGTGGCTATTTACAAGGGACGTTGGCGAAGGAATGCATCTGCCTATGATGCACAGGTTAGATCTATCGCAGGGGAATTCATTCAGCAGCAAAGTGGCTTTGCACGCAGTTAAACACCTCAGGGTACCAAGAGAGGTTTGCAACGCTGGTTCGTTCTGTTGAGATACTGTGCAAACATGCAGAGAAAGCAGGGTCAAATTTTGCCAGGTGGTGACACTGGCGACCACGAGAACCAACTGCAGCGCTTGAAGCCTATCAAGAAGATGGGTCTGCTGGTTGACGTGTCCTGTCTGGTAAGTTTGTGCAAGGAAGCTTGGAACCCGTAGCAGCAACTGTCTGGCTATATGTCTGGCTTACTGGATCATGCGCTTCTTCGTGCGCAACATACAACTCAATTGCGGCCAAATCGTTGCCGTTCTTTGTTCCCTCAGCAGGTACACTACAGCTGGGACTGCCTCATGCAGCTACAAGAAGCACTCGTAGCTGGCTTTCGAATACATGTGGACTCCGTGCTTCTACCGCAGCTCGGCTCTTGTAAATCTCTGATACCTGCATGGCCATTTCCTTGCAGCTTTAGGCGTGCCACTACCTACCAATGCTCCGTGCCTGAGAAGGTTTAGCAGGGGCAAGGGCAAGTGAGCAGAGCCGAGGATTGATACCCCGGAGGAGCTCTTAGCCGTCGCATGTCAGGTGTCCTCCACGGTTTTCGTTATGGAGCCCGAGCTACTTCTCCAGGGCTTTCAGCAGGAAGTGCCATGGAATCAAGACATGCAAGTGAGTGGCGCTGAGAAGATGAGATCTGCGTGGAGAAGGTACGAAGGAGGAGCAGCCCGGAGCACTTGCCGCTTTGTCGTTGTTTTCCCACCATCGGTGCCGCTGTCATTGATGGACCCTCCCTTCGTGATTCTAGATGGTCTGAATTCTGCTAGCAACGTGGGACAAGTCCTTCGGACTGCATATCATCTCGGAGTGAACTCGGTCGTGGCATCACCTGCGACCTGGGGCTGCCTGAATGGGCGCGCGTGCAGAGTTTCCATGGGGTGGATGTACCGTATGAAATTTCATGCAGCGAGGCCCCTGTCCAAAGCGATGCGGGAGCTGCAAGATTTGGGGGTCTTCATATATGCTGCTGAGAATCAGTTTTCTCAGCCCGTTGCCCCACACGAGCCCTTAGGTGACAAGAGCTGGGCATTAGTGGTTGGCAGTGAAGGTTTGGGAGTCTCGGACGAGATCGTTCGAATGTGTGATCGCAGGATCTCCGTTCCACAGCAGCAGGGGCATTCGCTGAATGTTGCTCATGCGTGCTCCATATGTTTGTATGAGCTGTCGAAGTCGAGCTGGCCCGCTCAGGGCATGCGATGCAAAATGATCCTCATTTGTACTGGTTTCGGGTCATGCAGCCTGCACTTATCGCCTGTGAGTCGGTCAGCTTTTGGAAGGACCTTTGTCCAGAAAGTGGCGCCGGCCTTGGTTCAGAGGTTGTTTGCAGGGACGCCGACAAGCTTGTGTTGAGGTTCGGTACCGCTGCTTGCCGCGTCCGTAAACAAGAGGCGATGCGAACGTTTTGCAGAGTGATGTGTTCTTGGACACGTGTCTGCACAACCCTTCTACACAGGTGGGCCGTGGTGCAGCAGCTGCTAGAACTTCGTTTGAGCCTCTGTCTTGCAAACTGCCATTCTTGTGGGAAGGCTTGTGCTGAGGTGCGAAAGCAGATGCTTGTGACTCACAGGGCCGCACGGCGCTCATCATCGCCGCAAGTCAAGGCTGTCTGCAGACCTGTTGCAGTGGATGCTGGGGTGCTCTCAGCATTCAAACTTCAGTTATGGGAGGCCAGTCCCGAGCAGTGTCCAGCTTGATTGGCGCGAGAGCCTCGTGCCCGTCTCAGACCGTGGGGAAGGTTTTTGAAAAATGCTTTTCGAGCAAGTATCAGGTTGGAAGCTCGTTCCTTAGATGGGCAGACAGCGTTCCTGGCAGCTGCTCGCCAACAGCACTGGATGGCCCTGCACACGGCCCAGCAAATACCGTTGTAGCTGGGATTCAGCACAATGCTCAACTGAGCAATGGCGAGCAATGCTGGAGTTTGCTTCCACTGAGGCGTCGGCTCGCTGAAGCTTTGGCAGATCCGAATGCCCCCTGGCTGTGTCCTTTTATGAGAACTGAACTTGAAAAATATTTGAGTTGGAGATGCGATGGTCCACAATACAGAGCATCTGAACTCCTTTTGGTTGGGTGTGGTGTGGTATCTTATGGGAAGAATAGAGTCAACCAGCAAAAAGCTGCAACTCACTGGAAATCCATTGCGCATCAAGGTAGTAGAGACCACTGATGCCAAAGCCGTGATTCTGCGAGTTGCTGAGACATCGCAGTTGCAGCCTCAGAGGTGATCTTGGTGCCGCTGGCCAATAAGGTCTGTGATTAAGTCATGCAGGTGGGACACTTTGATACACTTGGCACGACACCGTGCGAATCTGGAGGCACGCTGTTCTCAGTGTTCTCAGGTTGCTTTGTTGCCCAATTTGTTGGCCAAGGTCCGCGGGCAAGGAGGTCGCAGAGTGTTGATGTTTGCCGCGGAGTGTGGGCTCGACGATGTTGCATGGCCTGGGCCTCCTCCCCCACTTTCAGTCAGAGGTTTCAAGCTTGGCACAACTTGGTTGAGGTGGCTCCTGCAGTGCCAGGCACCTAGCCAGCGAAGTCTTGTGCCAAAGGTGGATGGGCCAGTTATGTGGGGAGGGTGTGGTCCATACTCCAAGGCCGGGCTGACCCCAATGCACAAGATGACAAGGAACGTTGCAGGGATTTTGCCTTGCTGGCAAAGGTGCTTGTGCTGTTTGCCTGATGGCAGGGAGAGACTGCTCTGCTCAAGGCTTGCAACCGCCAGCCAGAAGCTGAGCTGAATTCATGTAGAGACGATTTTCATTGGCTATTCTGGAAGGTTGGAGGGATTGATGCGGATTTTGTGGGAAGGAGGAGCCAGCATCGAGCTGCAGTCTCAGAAAGGAAACTCTTTGAGACGGTATCGTCAGGGCTTGTAGCGCTTGTAAACCTGAGGGTGGCGGTCAAGAAGTCTCGCATTCCTGCGCAGCTCGCCCAGAAGTGGAGCATGCTGAGAGAGGATTTTGCTAGTCTCTCTGTGAGGATGTCAAGACTGCTGCAGCAGTGGAGTGGGCACGAGGATGAGGACTGAAAGGCTGGTATCCAACACCCGGAACTGCTACTGCATTCACTGCCCTCCGGACTTCTCGTCCTTGTCTCAAACAGACTGCGCTGCGCATCTGACATTTGTCCTCGCTAGCGCTAGCGTTGAATTCTTCGACCATTTGAGGTTTTGACAAGACAGACCTGATCAAGCTGAGTGCTTCAATTGATGAAGGAACCTCCTTTGATAGTTGGTGCGGCGGGCCGGAGGATCCCCTCAGAAGAGATCTGTCAGATGACTCACCCGTCCTGCTATGGATTCCACAGCGATCTGAGAACGAGAGCTGGGATGTGGCACAGACTGAAACATTGACACCAGCAGGGTGGACAGCTCACGCCAAGCACCAGGAAGATGTGCAGGAGATGCTGGACTCGGAGTATAGCACGACTTTTGCACGATTACCACTGACTTGCAAGGGTTAGATGCAACAGATGGCCCAGGCTCCTGAGGAGTGGGCTGAAGGGCAATTTAAGGGTGACGTGACTTGAACAGACGGGGTCTGGGAACCTGTGCATGTCGAAGACTGCATGCGCAATGAATGTCAAGCACTTGGAAAAGCTTTGCGCCTGGGCACCAGCGATATCGACTTGCTGACAACATCAAGATTTTGGCTGTTGTCCTGGCTCCCATTTTCCTGGCAGGTTCTTACAGTCTTGCGCGGTGCTTCGCCGCCAAGGCCTGCGTCATCTCTCTCTCTCTCTCTCTGTGCAACCTGGATTTCGGATTATTTATGTCGAGGCTTGTATGGTCGCATACCGCCGGGCCTGCACCTAGGTCGCGCGTGAAAGCTAGTTGTGGTGGTGCTCACGATTCAGAAGCTCAGAAGACAACGCTCTGCAGGGCCTATTCGACCAGGACGGCGAGCAGCACGAACGTAGTGACCAGTGTCACCAGGCCCAACCAGAGTCGCCTTTGCGGCAAAGCCCTTGATGCGAATTCCTGAAAGCAAGGCCAGCTCCGGTGGCTCCGGCTCCGGTGGCACCAAGTCAGCGGCAGGCAGTGCTTCCGCATTGACTCTTTAAGTGTTGCAGGTTCTTTCTGACTGTGTTTGCAGGTCCCGCGGCTGCATCTGCCCAGCCACGCCGGACACATGCCGGTCTGGATGTCAGGCAGAGCTCACTCTCAAGCATTCCTGCCTTAAGTCATGCTTCGCTGCATGCTGCACTGCCAGGCGCTCTGAGTCCAGTCAAAACTTTGAGGGCGTTTGACCCTGAGCGCATGGGTCATCGAGTTGGCGCACTCGTGGATCATGGCTCTGCATCGTAAGCTGAGGGATCCGCTGAGCCGCTCCATGCAAGTCGCATCTCGCCACAAGTTCTTGCATCTTTGGGTTTCCATGAGGCTGAGGGATATACCTGACCCTGCACTCCTGATGTGTGTCATGGGATTATGGAAGACCCCTATGATGCTGCTAACGCTGGTCATTGCATGTTTGCCATGATGTTGACAAGTCCGGGGCATCAGCTATCCGAATGTTTCACTGGCTGAGCCAGGTGCCTTTACAGGGCTCATCTGCGCGAGTCTCAGCCGCGGAGAGGGCATGTATCGGCTTCTGCAAGACTCTTGACTTGCCTGGTTTGTCAGGTTGACTTGTCTGCCCCCAGGCCAGGCTGCCCCAAGCATTTGTATCTGCACAAGGGCCGAGCTGTTTCTGTTCTGCAGCACGTGCACATGAGCAAGAGGTATGCTGCGCATACTGTGGACACGCTCAGTCGGACAGTATCCGCTTGCAGGACCTCGCACCCTCTGCAAATTCTGCAAGTCCATCTCAAAGGGAAGAAATTGCCTCGCTAGCTGCTAGGCATGTTCCGGAGAATGGCAGCTTCCGGGCCACGTCGCCAACACGGCTTGTCCTGGCCCCGAGTCCTGAGGCGCGCTGGGGGTGTGCCATGGCGTGCCCTGTATGTTTTTTGTGTCTGCACAAATCAGTGAGACAGGTAAAACCAGTGATCTACCGCACTGCGCCGCCTCTTGGTCGAATGGGCAGATCTGCCAGGGCAGCCCATACGAGTCTTCACAGCAGGCCAGCGCCGCGACCCACTGATGCGCGCATGTGACTTGGCCATGGTTTCACACATTCCGAGCAGCAAGCGAAACGACGGGGCCGTCTGATTTGCGACAGGGCTGGGGCCTGCCAGGTTTTCTGCGGCAGCACCTCGTCGAATGGTGCCAAACTCAGTTCTTGTAGTTGTTGTTAGCTTGAACCAGAAGCAAAGCTGCGGCAAAAGGCATCCCCAGTCTTCGCTCCCTGCGGAGCGCTGAGCTGTTCACGTGAAAGTTTCGTGCACATCAAATGATGCAGCCCAGGCCAGAGGGCAAGGTCAGGTGAGGGCCTTTTGCGAAGCTGATGTGCAATGCTTGTGCATTGCTGGGGTTGAGAAAGAAGTGCGGATCCCTGCAAGTTGACTGGATGTGGGTCAACCCACAAGTTGAGAGCAACTTGAGAGTTTGAATGGGAGAACGGCAGTCAAGTTAAAGGCCACAGATGATTGAAGATGCTAGGCGCATGCCAGCACCCGGTACCAGATCTCTTCAGACATTTAGAACAGCATGCTGGCCTCACCGTGCAATGCCCGTTTCAAAACTGCAGGGGCGTTTGATGGCGTTTGCATAGAAAGCCTTCCACAAGCGTCAACAATTTCCTTTAGAGGAGCCGCGGCAGCAATAAGCCGATGGTATTGAAGATGAAGAGCTTCTCCCCTAACTAAATCTTGACCAGATAGCCTGTAATGCGCGAGAACATAATGGAAACAAGGCATAGCTCATAGGGCAGAAAAGAACGCGTCAATCTGGAATTTGCTTCATGTGCATACTGTCTTGTCCGGCCCCCTCAAGGCTGCGCTTCTTCGTAGCTTCAGGGCATGCGTGCACTCAATTCATAGCCTCAAAAACAACATTTGTACCTTCGGCAGTCTCTAGCAGCACCATGTAAAAGTGCCAAACTACCCGCTTCAGCTGCCAGGTTTACAGCCTTGCCGGGTAGGATATGGCAGCAGAAGACCCGCAGAAGCTGCAGACCTTGGCCAAGCAACTCAAGACCGTGCATGGCTCAGGTTGCCCAAATGGCTATGCATTGGATTATAGCAAGTTGTGCAGCTGACAGGTCATCCAGGCGCCATTAGAGTATGACGTCGCAGACCCAGCATGTGCTGAGCAGATCAGGGCGGCTTTCAAGGCCAAGTTAGATCAGATCCTTGTTCTCAGGTTGGGACAGGCAATGTCGAGACTGCAGAGGCTCCTTCGCGAAATTGGCTTCTGCATCTCGTCGTAGGAAGTTGTTTGTCAGGTAGAGAACCTTCTGGTCTTTGATGGCCCGAGCGGGAAAAATGTGGGAAGGCGGGAAGCCCGACTTGCGGACTGCTCCGCTTCGGCAGCAGCTTTCATCCATGTGAGGCTGCAGATAACCGGGACAGTGCAAGGCTATCCAGCAGGCATGGCCTTCGGGTGGCATCATGGAAGCTTAAGCCAGCAAGTTGTGGGTTGCAAGGTGAATGGCTGCACCTCACCCGACAAGAAGTGATACGATTGCAGGCAGGGCCCATCTCACTTATTATGCTCTTCCCATGAGTCGTTGTGTAGACCAGGACCAGGGCGCCCTCGATCCGGACCTCCAAGAAGTGTGGGCAGGGATCCTGGAATTATGAGACCTGCAATATGCGAGTAGCTCAACTTCGCAGCGAGGTGCAGCTGGAGCTGTGTGTTTGCCCCCTAGCGGAAGATGGAAGATCAGCAGCTGTGCAACTTTTCATGTTGCCGCATGATGCAATTTGTTGTGCTGTAGGTGTCGCAGCGTGTACCCGTCGTACCGCGTACGGAGCCTTGTCAGCTCCTGCAAAGCCATGGGCCAGCCTTTGCATTTGCAGACGACTTGAGGCTGGGCACAGATTGATGTGGAGATGACCTACCTCGAGGAAGGTGCCCGCCTCAATTGGATGTGCTTATGCAAGAAGCGATCAGGCCTTGGAATTTTCATGGCCGGGGATTCCCGGAGAATTCGTGACCTACACAGTCCAGTGGAGGACACATGGAAGCCCTGCACTTGCTGCTGCTCCAGTAGTTTAGCAGCCTGTGACAGGAGCGGCGATGGCATCGGTCTTGAAGATGCCCGGGCACGCAGACTCCAAGAGCTACGCGATATAAGAACATAGCAGCATGCGCACGGATCTCAGGCGATGCAGGAGGTCCCAGCGGTCCCGGACTCTGCTGACATGGCTGGCTAAAGTTTGATGAGTTGCTGATGCGACTGGTAATTGGTACTGAAGCCACAGAGTAGCAGCCTGCAAGTTGGCTCAAGCCGCGCACGGCAACATGGTCGCCATCAGACGATTTCCAAGGGTTCTCCAGGGCAGAGAGCAGGCTTCTCGGGGCATTCGACATATTCGACGCCTCTCGACGCTTCCTACGCTGTCAACTCCTGAAGTAGAGGATGTTGTAATTGGTGCTGGCGTTGTCGGGACCTGTACAGCCTATAGCCTGGCAAGGCAAGGGCGGCGGGTGAAGGTTCTGGACCGAGGCTCAGGCCCCGCCCAAGGCTCCAGCTGGATCAATGGCACCCTTATCTGCCCGTCCCTGATGCTGCTGCTAGGTTCACGTTTCTGGGATCCCTTGTTACTATAGGTTTCCGAACAGTTTCTATAGAGGATATGTAGTGCGCATCCTTTCCGGACTTAGGCCATGGACGGGTCCGCAACTCATCCCCAAGCTGCTGAAATCATTTTTCCACCCACGCCATCCGCTGAAAGTCCATCCGAGCGTTCTCTGTTCTCTGGATACTTATTATTTTGCTTTGCACTATCTGGCATCCTGCCGGCCTGGCCATGGTGCAAGGACGACACGACGTTTGGCAAACTTGGCACGCTATTCTCGGCATTGTCTAGAGACATTGTTGCTGAGCCATCCCGAGCTTAATGGCTTCATGGATCGGAAAGCCGCTGGAACCCTTCAGGTTTTTGATGACCAGACAGCCATGCAAGCATGCTTAGATGCATCAGAGGAGATTCAGCGAGCTGGGGTTCCGCTTCGAATAGTCAGGGAGGAGAGTGGCAGCGACCTTGCTGACCGACTCCGTCAGACAGGCCATGAAGCGCTCTACCTGTACTCTCCTCTGGACACAAACGGTGATTGCGCCAAATTTACACATTTTCTTGAGAGGCAATGCCAAGAGCTTGGTGTTAGGTTTCGATATGACTCCGTTGTGCAGGGCTTTCAGGACAAGAATGGGCTCTGGGAGATTGCTTTGAGAGGGCAACCGCCTGTCCGAGCAAGGAACGTCATTCTCTGTGCAGGAACTGGCAGCCCAAGCCTGGCCTCCTTGCTTGGCGTGCGGTTGCCAATGGCTCCTGTAAAAGGCTATGCCATCACGGTCCCACTCAAGTCTGGAATCCAGCAACTGTCATCGAATGTGGTCCAGGATTCGAGTAAATTGTACCTTGCCCCTCTGGGGCCTGATTTGGTTCGCATCACTGGCTTTGCGGAGTTTGCAGGGTTTGATGCCTCTGTCGACATGGACCGTGCCATGATTCTGACAGAACAAGCAGATAAATTGCTGCCAAACTGCGCCTAGCAGGCAGGAAGTAGTTTCAGTTTTGTGTCATGGCCAGGCTAGCACACTCCAGACGAACCGCTTTCTCACTGCACAAATGAAACGCGGCAAAGTCAACAGACATAAGCGTCGAGACGTCTAGAGATTGGTCGGTTTTTGTCTGTGCCTTACCGGAGATTCTGAAAAGATCTTGAGTCAGTAGGGCGCTCTTCGGTGGTAAGGTTTGGACCTGAGCAGAGCTGAGTACCACACTGGACTGCGACCTCTCAGTGCCGACGATGTGCCAATCATTGGTAAAGTGCAGTCCAACTTCTTCCTCAATACTGGCCACGGATCAAAAGGCGACCTACAACACGCTTACATGTTTGCGGTTGTTGGCATGGACCCTGCATTAGGAACGTTCCAGGATGTAATCTAGTCTTGGTTCCCCTCGGTCGAGCTTCAGTGCAAACTTGCAAAATCCTTCAGGGTGGACTCATGCAGCTGGAAGTGGACAACTTGTCGCAGACCTCGTCACTGGACGGCAGCCGGACCTGGATCCAGAGAGTTACAGTCTGAGCCGCTTCTTCACTTTGCATCAAAAAGATACTCCTTTTGATTTCCAATTTGGTGGGGCTGATTTCATGGCCTAGTGCGTTGGAGGCCAGTTGAGTCTTCATTTGCAAGACAGGGCCACAACTTTCCTGACCTGGTTGCATAGGATGTGCGGCATGCACGTTCATGTGGATGCTGAGTCTCCTACGTGGAGATGCGTTTTGAGACTTTAGAGATTTCGGTCAGTTGTGTGACCGTAGACAGCTTGACCGCAGCGGCATGCCCGCTCTGATGCTGACGATTTACAAAGAGTGAGGAACTGCGCCAGAGCCCACACAAACCTATTGCTCACGGCCGGTCGTATGATCAGCTTAAAGTTCAATTTGATTTGTTAATTTGTTCTTGCATGAGGTCGACACGCCTGCAGAGGACGTAACACTGCATCTCGGATCTGCGCAAGGAGGGAAGGGAGACATGACGGCAGGATGCCCCTAGGCGAGGCGATTTGGAGTCGGATCCTTGGACGCTTCTTCGATTTGAGTTGCTGAAGGCAATGTGCATCACCGCCAGTGACAGGTGCACCTCCTCACGTGCGCTTCTTCACAACCTCCCGCAGGCCACGCGAATTGAGGTGGGCTTTGCCAAAAGTCCTCTTATCTCCCTCCGCTTAACAGCGCTTAACACCAGCTTCTCTACACTACAGGAGCACTACTTCTCTACGCTGCTGCCAGACTCCTTGCAGGTTCGAGTGCTTGCTAGCGTCACTGGTCCTCAAGTTGATTTCGTCGAGCTGGAGATCCTCAGCCCCTGGAGCTTGGATCATGAAACTAGTGCAAAGAGCATTGTTGAACGTGTCGGAGTTCACACAACAATTGTCCGTTGCAGGACTGAAGTTGAAACTAGCGCGCCACTTCCCGGAGAGGATGTCAAGGACAGGGCGCTGAAACTCTACTTACTTAGCCGGGAAGACGACCATTCCGCGCAGGCACTGGGAGATCGTGACTTGCTAGGAGGACTGCTTGCCTTGTGTTGAAGATCCTCAAACTCATGGGTTCGCTTGAAGTGAAGCTGCAGTGTCCACTTGCGGTGCAGGCTATCGTGGCGGTTGCCTGCATTCCTCGTGCAGAGGAACGAAAGTCTTGTTGTAACAGTCGCGGGGACGATCATGATGCAACAGAGTTCTCAGGCTTCCTGGCTGCTACTACACTACACTCGACCCATGCGGAACAGTGTCGTCGGTGTGGCTGCTCCTATGAGGAGCCCTGGGAAAAGATGCCTTCATGCATTGCCTCGCACAGTTGTTGTTGCAGAATTCACGACCTTGTGTTGGCAACATTGTGTTCTTTGCCGTGTGGCGTACTGGAGGAGCACATGGAGCTGGAAGGCGAGCCCGGGCCAATCAAGGAGCCTGCCTGACTCATGACTCATGCTCCTGTTTTAATGCCACCGCCATCCCTCTCCACACCTGCGCCCATGGTTAGTTGTGAAGTGCTGCCTCCTTTGACGAGGAGCAGCAAGTTGAAGGCCATGCGAGTACCCTGTGCATGGTCGCAAAAGTGTTTGCCGCCTCCATGCTGGTTAGTGCGACGGAACAGGTTCCTCACCAGACGCGGAGGGAGGAGCTCCAGAGGCCTGTGGATCTTCGGCTCTACTGGATTGAGATAATTTCTCCCGTGGCCTGGAGGCAGAGAAGAAGCAGCTTGAATCAGCTGAAGCGGATGGCTTGGCGGAGCACGAGGTGACATGCTTAAGGAGATATGTTGGCTCTGCAGGTTCACGCTCAGCGAGCAAGAGCTGAGGTAGAGTCAGTACAGACTGCGGAGGGTGCCGACGATGTCAGCGAGATAGAAGTTGAAGACCTGGAGATGGAAGAGGCTTCCATTATTTCCCATTCAGCATGTTGCAGCATGACACAAGGCATGACGGTGACACAGCTCCTTCGCCTGCTGTAACTGCTCACGTCGTGAAGAGGAGAACGGGATGGAGCTCTCCCCAGAGAAGGCAGCGTCTGAAGGGAACATGCATGAGGACGCAAGTGTTCTGTGAATCGTGTCAGGTTGCCAAGGCAGAGGCTGAAGACGCAACCGAAGCTGGCGAGCAACAGGATCGTGGTGCTACTTAGTTGCTGAAGTCACTCCAGGTCTGTTTGACAAGAAGTGGTCCTGCAGAGGATGTGGAAGACAATGCTCGCTGGGAGGACTTCCTGGAAGCTGATGATGGTACCTGCGCCAGGGATATGAAATGCAGCTTCGGAAACGATTTTGCTGCCAGGTGAGGAGGAGCCTGCTGACGTAGAAGCAGAGGCTGGCATGGTAGAGGCAGGTCCCCACCTTGAAACATAATGGAAAACTCATGTAACATCCTCGCAACATCCTTACCTCTTTGCTTTCGGCTACCTGGCAGGGCTTGGAAGATTTCACTGGTGCCCAAGTCATTGCTGACGAGCTGCAGAGTAGCGCCACGCAGCAGCATGGGGTAAGAAGGGGTATTCTGCGTTGGATGATAGGAGCTTCGGCAGCACACAAGCTGTTGCAGCTAGAGACGCTGTACGCCAATTTTCCAGCTTTCAGAAAAATGTGCCGAAGCGCACTATGAAGAATTCAAGCACAACCTGCTTGGGATTGCAAAGCAAGGGTAGCAAGCGCGAGACAGCCAGCTGAGCCCAGGCAGTTGAGCCAGACAGACCAATGGGAGCGGAAAGCAATCTGGCCTGGAACTCTGCAAAGACGGCCGCAGCGCATCCTCTGAAATGCAGCGTCATTCATGAACGAAAGAGTGAGCACTGAGCACCTTAAGGGGACTCAGCTTGCAAGCTTTTTCTGCTTGAGGTCTTCCTGTCAACAGCGCCAGTACACATCCGATCTGCACCGTCTGCATCTTCTCGGGCACGAGGCCGTTGATCCGCGCTCGGATCACTGCAGTCTGGCACGCAAGACTTTCAATAACTCCAAACGATTGCATTCCGAACTCAGCAGGCATTGTTGACTCGGGAACTGTCGTCTCTGGATGCATCTCGGACAGGACTGGAATAGACAGTTGTACTTTGCTTTTATGATCTTGTGCGCGCTCCGAGGTTTGGAGGCTGGTTGGCTAAGACTCGATCAGGAAACAAAGGAGCAACTGCTGCTGCTGGGCAGTGACGAGGCATGGTTGTCGAGCGAGGACCTGGCTCAGAAGGAGCACAGAGACGCGGAGCAAAACATTCAGCAATCGTCCCTGCAAGCGGAGAGATTGCTTGGTGCTGGCATTCAATACCGGGCTGTTCGTGACCTCCAGTGCTTCAAGAGCCCCTCGACTGAGGACGACAACAAGGTCATCACCGAGGGACATGCTTTGGTCGGTTACCCAAGCTACCATCACTGGATTCGCCTGGCAGACTCGGAGTCCAATACGGACTTCATCTCGCACTGGGTCTTTCAGGATCCTGGCAGCCCAGCCCTCAAGGCAAGCTGGTGTCGCGTGAAAGTCTCCCAGAACTCGTTTGGTGTGCTGCACCTCAGCTGGCCCGGGCTGGTGGTATCTCAGCACAGTACCGTCTATTACTGTCTGGAGTGGAGCAAGCGTGGTGCAGAACATGCAAAGGGCTCTGGTATGACTTCTCGTCCGGCTCCTTGCCTGCTCTTGATATGAGGCCAGCATTTTGGCCTACACCTTACTTGCTGTTGTGTACCTGCTCTCAATATCTCAGGAGTGTACACTTGCGACTTGTGATGAAGAGACGCAGTTTCGAGTCAGCAGTGGCCTTAGACGGAGAGGTGCATGGAACATGGAGGCGTGAAGGTAAGGAGCAGGCGGATTTGTTTTCGTCTTGCATGTTTCTTTGATTAGTCTTGCAGTCTAAGGTGCATTCATCAACAGCAAGGATAGGAGTTTGCATGTAGCAAGCTTCTGGCAATCAGATTGGCAGCTGGAGCCGATGAAAGCAGATTCGCCTCGGACGCTGGGAACTGCAACGCATCCCTCAGAGGGAGAGCAAAGGGGTGATGAGGGCTCAGCGACGAATGGAGAGTGCAATGAGCCTCACGATGAGCTTAGCGATGAGCCGACTGGCTTGCAGCCAGCTGTATCGGAAGAGGTCGGAACAGGCTCAGCCCCTGGGGAAAATTCAGTGCCTGAGCATGGCGACGAAGCTGCGCCGACTGACAATGAACCGGATTCGGATGTCAAGAGCTCCGGAGTCACGCACGCTTGTCTTGGCGAAAGCAGCGTGCCTGCGGAACAGGAAGCATTCAGGCAATCGCAAGGAAAGGAGGCAGGATCCCAGGTTTCAGCTGAGGAAGTGAGTGAGCCAAGCAAAGCTGACGCTGACCCTTTTCCAAGCGGCACTAAAGCAGAAGAGCCGCAGCCGCCGTCACCAAGTCCTGAATCACAACCAATGAGCCTTGAGACAAAGAAAATGGGCCCTGCTCAAAAGGCCCGGCAAGCGGCCGTTCGTCGCGCAGCTTTGGTTGCAGAAGAAGTCATGGGCAAGCCTGTGGAGTATTCGGTTGTTGCTGAAACCCCGCTGTATGGCGAGCCGCAAGCAGCGTCACCGCTGTCAAAGAGCACGCTGAAGCCTGGCACCAAAATTTCAGGCTATCCAGGCAATGCGAGTTGGGTCCGTCTGGTGGGCGCGGAAGAGGAATGGGCTCCCGTAAAGAGCCCTGGTCCTGGGAAGGAGGTTCTTCTCTGCCCGACATGGGCGCAGCTACAATCTGAGGCTGTCTTCAGCGAAGCTTTGATGATAAGCTGGTCAGGTCTGGCAGCTCCCAAGCCACCGTACGTCGCAGCCTACAGCGTCGAGTGGAGGCTTACGCCGGGCGAGGAGCTTCCAATTGGTGCAGGAGACGGACAAGACTTCAAGAAGAGTGGTTATGCATTGAGTCTCCAGCCACGTGCCCTGGCTGTCAGAAACTGTTTAAAGAGGTGCATGTCGGTGGCGCCCAGCCCAGAGATAGGTCTCCCAGCAGTTGCTCGGAGCGTATTGCGGCGAAACTTGTGGAGACTAGTAGCAGCAATTATTTTTCATAACGGGAACGTCGAAAGAGCTGTTGTGTTGCTTGTGTCAAGGAAGGCCCCCTGTAGTCCAAGCAGTACCACATGGTACCAAGCGCAAAGTCCGAGGTGCAACGTTGCATGGGCTGCCCCCAGGTGCAGCAGTGCAACTGCGAGCTGGAGTTCGTGTGGCTGCCCAATCTGCAGGGCAAGCAGATTTTCGATTGCTGGGTCCTTGGCAGGATTTTACTACCGGCAGTCCCCTCACCGAAGAGGAGGAGGCAGAGCCTTCTCGAAGTATCGATCCTTTTGGAGCTGCGCGCGGAGACTGCGAGAGCAGCCAATGCCGCGGCTACGTTGCAGACTTGGATGCTTTGGCTTCTGTCGGTGCCAATGCGAACTTCATGGTCCAAAAGGCAATTTGTATTCGCTGTGGCAAGTCATTCGAGGCGCATCGGCGCCTCGAGCGCACAGAGGCTATAAAGAAAAAGAAGAAGGTGACTGAGGCAAGCACTGGCAAACCACCAGAGGATGACAACAACCTGAAGAACTTCCAAGAGTCATTCTCAGTTTCTTTTGGTTCAGACTTGCAGAAATGCAGATGTACTGAAGGGTGCCAAACAGCACTGAGGTGGTTCACACAATGGTGTTCGTCCGTGATCGTGCCAGCGTGAAGGGAAGGCTCGCAAGAAGTTGCAACTCCACTACACGAAGAATAGATGAAGTTGGTTTCGTAGTATGTATAGAGACGGTCTGCGCAAGTAGTTGTAACTTCGCGTGAGCTGCTTCTTCGCATTTGTCGGACGAGGACGCTTGGAGTCCTGAAGATGGGAGCTCGTGTCCGCGGTTGGGTGCGTTCAGGCAGGAAGCTCGTCATTGTCTAGGAAGTCGCTGGATTTTTGTCATTTTGCCCGAATATAACCTGCATTTTGGAGACGCCGAAGCAGGCTGGCTGCAGCTGAGCCGTAGCTCCGCGCAGACTGTTGCCAGCGAGATCCGGGACTGGGATTCTGATTCTCCTCTTCCTAATGCCTCTAATGCTCCTCGCAACCTGCAGCCTGCAGTTCTGAAAATCCAGCCATCCCACTGAAATGTAGAATAACTGGCCGGTTTTCAGGTTGCTGCTCACACATTTGATCTGGCCACTAGCAGAAACGACTGACTCAGGAATCTGAGCGGGTGTGGGAGGCCTTAGGTTTCAATTTGGGGGGGCTAGGAAACAAACGTCTTGACCAGAACAGACATCAATATATCGATACAAGCTTTAACGCGTCGAAGAAGGCAATCCATGATGATTTATGCATGTGAGAGGCCCAAACATTTGTTTTCGAAAAATCGTTAAGAATGGGGCCACTCGCCGAAGCATTAGGTTGTGCTTGGCATCGAGTTTTGTATTCTGATGTGACATGTTCTGTGCAAGCGTTCGACGAGAGGTGAATGAATCGTTGAATCAGTTGCAAGAACAAGAAAACAATGGCTGATTGTTGTGTTCCTTGTTGGCTTCGACTTTGGGGTCCTTTGGGCTTTTCAGCCTCTGGGCCCTGCCGGCTTCTGGAATCTGGTTTTTCTACAGTTTTCTGGCGTCTGCTTTTCTTGGCCTCCATACTACGTAGGGCGTCGTAGCTTTCTGAGCTTCGTGCTTTCTTTGAGGCTTCCGCTTCTTGGTCATGGCGGTTACCTGATCTTGCTGCTGCTAGGACGCTGTTTACGAATAATGATGATTGCTACTGCTAGTACTAGTATCAGTAGTACCAGTACGAGTACTAGTAGTACCACTGCTACAACTTGTGCTCTGTTTCTACTTCTCTCGCGCTTAATCGTCCAACAAGCAGCAACCAAGCCTGCTGCCAACACGGCGACGACGACGACGACGACGACGAGGACGACGACCACGACCACGACCACGACCACGACCGCGACCGCGACCGCGACCGCGACCACGACCGCGACCGCGACCACGAC